CACAAAGGAGCCAACATCTCAAGATCTGAGGGGAGAGCAAGAGGTAAGGGATGAGGTTGAAGAGGTGGGCAGGAGGCCTGTCATGTGGGGCTTGTGTACCAGGGAATACTAGGGATTTGGGCTATAGGAATTCAACTAGCTTTGAATATGCCTAATTGTTTCAGTATCCAGCCTACACATACCCATCTTGTCCACAAATACACTGTGAATGATTTCCTTTCCTGATCCCACATGTGATCAAAGGATGTCCCTTTTACACTCTGAGCAATTCCCTTCCAGTTGTCACCATCAGTGTGGTACACAAGACACACTCTGGATGCACAATCAGGATTCAGAATCCATTACATCTTCATTGTGCTATGTGATCTTGGCCAAGTCACAGCCTCTCTGATCTTCAGTTTTTGGGGATTTCCCCCATTGCTCCATAACGTTACCTCACTCCTGGAACTGAACCACTACGGGATTAAGCATTTTGGGACACTTTGATCTAGGGAGCAATCACTCTTTCAACCTTTCCCCTTCCTGGTCTCTTCCATCCTTCTCTCCACATGGCCCAGGTAAACTGTGTCTAACGATGCATCTGGCTTCAGTTGCTAACAGCTCCAGGGACCGCTCTCTCATTTCCCAGAAGCCCTGCTTGTTTGACCCCATCAAGTTCTACTTACCCAAGTGTTATACAACCCTCCCCTTAATTACACACTCAATCAGTTCCTCCCGAGCTCAGCAGTTTGTGGTCTCTGGGCATCTCCTGGCTGCTTTTCTGGAGGTAGCTCCCAGGCTGGGCCTTGGCAAGCCTCTGAAGCACTGACTGGGTTTCCAAGGCCACAGTGCCCAGAGTTGAAAGCCTTGCTGCTATTTCACACTCTATTTCCTTCCAAATTAATTCTCTGATGAATACTGTCCTTTGCAGTGATTCAGTGTGGGCCATTTCCTTACATCTTTCCTTTACGTTTGAGACTTTTAATCTCTCTCAAATCCAGATTTTCCTCTGTGGAAAGCCTTCCCCAGAGAAAAATGCCCTGCCTTCCTACCAATATAAACAGCCCTACCACCACTGGCCCCAGCCTGATGGCACACTTCCTTTACTGGTTTCCTGAGGCCGTACCTTTGATTTCAAAGCACATGCTTGCCTTCTCTGAAAATCTCTGCACCACAAGGAGTGACTCAAACTTCTGGACATATAGTAAGCTGCTGAATTCTAGTTTCTTTAAGTCCCAAATACCTGAAGATGCAGATTCAAAATTTGTACTTGAGCAGCTACCATGTTCCAGACCCTTTCATATAGTTATTTTGCTTAACGCTCTCTGCCACTCACGGCCTCCCACCTGCAGACAGTACCATCCTCCTCAACATACAGATAAAGAGAGACTGCAGTGTTAAGTGTCCCAAGGCCACAGGGCCCAGGAAAGCGGTAAACCTGGAATTCAAATCCCCGGCTCTTCACTCCAAGGTGGGTTCTTCTTTCACCACCCCACAAGTGGCTGAAGTGCCCCTGAAACAGTCACCGGGATCTGACCACCAACAGCACACCATCCAGAACCGAGCGCCCCCTGCCCCAGCCGCCTGAGGAACACTCAGAAGGAGCCACAAAGAGGCTTTTCTGGCAAGAACACAAGCAATGCCTTACGTTTGTGTAAAACTTTTCATATTATGAAGTGCTTTACATACCTAATCTATGTGATCCCCAGGATAATTCTGTGAGGGAGTTACTATATTAGAGTCCCATTTTACAAATGAGGATAACAAGCTTGTTAACGGGAAGTTAATAGACTTGCCCTAAGTCACACAGATAGTACATACAGAGGTAGGACTTGAACTCACAACTCGTGACTCCAAGACCAGTGCTCTCTCAAGCTCTCAGACATTAGTTCGGATCTTTGCTTCAGAAATGGACATTGTGGGCCATGCCCCCTCACCCTCCACCCCTCACCTCCCACCTTCAGGGAAGCACACATTTCAAAAGCCAGTGGGAGAGAAAGGAGTCCTGGGAAGACTGGCTTATTATTGGGGAAAGCGTTTTTCAGCTCTCTCTCCACCTACCATTAAACAGGGACCAGGTTCCTGGAGGCTGGCAGGGTGGACTGGGAGAGTCAGGAGTGCATGGCCGGTCCCTTTGGCCACTAGAGGGCAGGGTCTGAACAGAACACCAGGTCCTCTCCCCAGAGAATTCCCCAGCAGGCGGAAGGGACTCATACTTTCCCTAGCAGCCCCAGGGTACACAGCAAACCACAGCTTTAGCCCCACACTGAAGAATGATACTTCCCTGGCATATGCCAAACGAAGTAGTTGCTCTTAATCCCTTCCAGACTCCTTTGCAGGTAGATGGGCAGTGCCCTAGAGGATTCCTGCTGAGGGAGAAGGGGTGCCAGCTACCACTTGCAAAGACCTGAGTTTCTTACAATAAATACAAACAGGTCAGCATGCCAGGTCCCGGTGCTCTGAAGACTGGGGGTGAGGCGGGATGGGAACTCTCTTCCTCCCTCTCTCCCAGTGAGCCCTTCAGAGTTTTGATCCCCTTGCTGTCCTGTTAAACTATGTACACGAAACTATTAAAGGGCAGTCAGCACAGAGCAGTGACTGGCCTTGTCTAATGACAGTTATCTCATCCCAGTGCCTGTCAGAGCCAAGAGCTCTGAGTAAGACAAGCCTTCGGGAGCGTCTGTAAGGTGAGTTCCCAACCAAGTCAACCTGCCCAAGCAAGCCCGGCTATGTGGGGAAGAGGAGTGACCATGCTACTCTATCCTAGAGGCCCTTCACTTTGCCATCCGAGGGTGAGGCCCCCTCTGGAAATTATTTTAACCCTAACAGCACTCATTTTAAAAACATTAGGACAAAGGAGTCAAGGCCAGGGGCAGGTTGGGAGTTTATGAAGTGCTTTCCACATCCCTCCTCAGGATAAATTGTCTGGTAAGCAAATGTTAACATCCCTGTTTTATAGTTGGGAAAATATAAGCTCAGAGAAGTTTAGTGCCTTGCCCACAGTCACACAGCAGGTAAGCAAGGGAGCCAGGGTTCCCCTGTCCACACGCGCACATTCCCCTTGGTGAGGGCAGGTAGAGAGCAGGTCCTGCCTGCAGAGAGGCAGCTGAGAATAGCATTCCCAAAGGTCCCTTCTAGTTGAGGGAACTTGTCATAGCTAAGAATCTAGTGGGAAGAAAGAGCAAAAGGGAAAAAAGAACGTTTGAGGACCCTTACATTTACTCAATTAATTCTCACAACAACTAATTAGTAGGTATAATTATCTCTATTTTCCACTGGAGAAAAAACAGGCTCAGAAACATCTCTCCCAGGGTCACAACCAACCAACTAGGTTAGAATTTGAACCCAGGAGAAGCTTTGGTATTTTCCTTTACTCCATGCTTCCCCCTGGTGGTGATTGGGAAGAGTGCACAGAGGCTGACGAGCCAGGCAGAAACAAGGAGGGAGAGTTCAGAATCCATTCCATAAAACTTTGCTGAAGTCCACTTTGTGACAAGTCTTGTACTTGGCTCTAGGAACACAATAATAGACAAGACAGACAGCTCCCTATCGAGGGACAAACATAAACAAAGGAGGCCTCTAGATGAGCAGGGATTAGATAGGCAAAGGAAGAGTGTGTCGGGGTCAGGAGATGGAACAATGTGTGCCGAGGGCCAGAGGCCAGAGGAGTGGGACTTCCTTTTGTTAAACAGTTCAGTCTGGCCAGGGGGGATGTGTGAGAGGCTGTGAGGGATGAGGCTGGAAAAGTAAGCAGGGGCCAGATCTCAAAGGGTAACAGAAGGCAAGAAAGGGTGTGACCCATTAGGAAGCCACTAAATAACCTAGGAGGATGATTATGGGCCCAGGAGAGTAGTGGGAGAGGGGATGTGTTCATTCATTCAATAAACGTTTGAGCACTAGCATGTGCTAGGCACTATTCTCTGTGCTGAGGACACATCAGTGAACAAGGTGAAGTCTGTCTTCATGGAGCTTACATTCTAGTCAGGGAGCTAAATAAACACACAGATGTGTAATATCAAGCACTGACAAATACCAAGGGGGAAAAAAGACAGGACAAGGTGTATTTGTTTGCTAGGGCTACCATAACAAAATACTACAGATCAGGTGGCTTAAATACAGAAATGTATTTCCTCAAAGTTCTAGAGGCTGGAAGTCCAAGATCATGGTGTCAGCAGGGCTGGTTTCTTCTGAGGCCTCTCTCCTTGGCTTTATGGATGGCCATCTTCTCCCTGTGTCTTCACATGGTCTTCCATCTGTGTCAGTGTTCTAATCTCCTCTTCTTATAAGGATACCAGTCATATTGGATTAGGGCCCACCCATATGACCTCTTTTTACCTTAATGACCTCTTTAAAGGCCCTGTCTCCAAATACAGTCACATCAGAGGTACTGGAGGTTAGGACTTCAACATAAAAATTTTGAGGGGACATATGTAATTCAGCCCATAGCACAAGGTGACAGAATGTAACTAAGGCTGGAGGTAGAAGGAGGGAAAGGGTCTGAAATATTTTATGTAAGATAATATGGGAGGGCCTCTCTGAGATGACATTGATCTGAGATCTGAATGAAGAGAGGGAACTAACTATGCAAATGTCTAGGAGAGCATTCCAGGGAGAGGGAACAGCTTGTGCCAAAAGCCTGAGGTGAGGAAATGACTCAGGGCTACTTGGCATGCAAGAACAGTAGGAAGGCTAGTGCAGCTGGAGTACAGAGAGAGAGTAAGGCCTTGAGGACCATTATGATGCCTGGCTCTTTCTTTGAGATGAAAAGCCAGGGGAGAATTTTGAGCAGAAGAGTGACATGATCTGACTTGTGTTTTAAAAACAACAACTATGTTAAGAATAAACTGAGAGAGAGGGGAAGGGTAAAAACAGGGAGACTTTGCAATAATCCAGGTGAGAGATGATGCTGGGACTAAGATAGTAACAATGGAAGTGGTCAATTCTGGATATAGGCTGAAGAGAGATACAACAGGATTTACTGATGCATGAGATGTAGGACATGAGAAAAGTTGTTGTTACAAGGCATTGTGTAAAGGCATTTTATTTAAAAGTCAACACACCCTACTTGTATAAATCAGTCACTCTCCATTTCCAAGTTCCAACTCCTGTGCTTGAGAGCAGAGTGTGCGGTATTCTTCTGGGCTTAAGGTGTAAACTGACACGGTGTTCAAGAACTTGTCCAGCGGACAGAGCCGGTCAGGGCAACCTCTCGGCACTTGCTCCTGCGGAAAAGACATAACTCAGCAGGGCCACTGAGGACCCTGTCCTGCTGTTTTCAGCTGTGCCCGGAGGTCTGAGAGGCATGGACCCAATGGTATGTGCATGCACGTATATAACAGCCAGGAAGGCCCCACTCCCCATCAGCTTGCAGAATAAGAGCACTATGCCCTGCTTGTAAAAGTCATTTAAGAACTGTTTGTTGACTTGACTGGGAAGACACAGTCAAGTTACACCCCTGAGCGAGGAGGGCTAATGGTCTAATCCTTGGGGAGTGCTCCAGCCTCTGCCCTGGACAGCAACCTGGGGAAGCGGCCAAGGCACCAAGAGTGCTGACAGCACATGTCACCACCCAGAGACACCATCATTAATTTTCAAAACAGGCCCCACAGGCAGCATGTTATATCCTGGCAGAGACACTCAGGAGAAGAGGAGGGTGGTCCTGTTCCTAGAAGAAGTCTGTAACAGAACTCAGATAACGCCCATGTCCCAGTCTGCCACTATATGCCAAGTTCTGCCTTATCCCTGGGCCACAGCTCTGAGTCGCCCATAGGATTCGGAGAGCTGAATGTACCAACGGAGACTACACTGGGCCTGAGGAGGGAGAGTTGTCTACCAACTAAACCAGGTGGCTGGGGTTGGGGGAAGGGTGGCTAGCCACACCCAATCCCACCTCAGAGGTCTTACCTTCCCATGGTAATAGAGCTGCACAAACCACTCCTTGGATTCCCGGTGCTGGTAGAGTTCTATGGTCAGATCTACAGCAAACGGGGGCCATTTGTGGTCAAAAATCCCCAGGACCATTAAGAGAGGCATGAGGGTCACATCATGAGCCGCATAGAGGTACAGCTTTCTGCAAGGAGGAAACAGCTCTTCACAATTCTTTACTTCAGGACTCTGGAGGCCCAGACACTGCCTGCCTCCTGTGAGTAAGAATACTTGCCTCAGAAACCAGGTGACATCTAGAAATCAGTTAAGCCTGGTATAAAACTCCCTTGAAGTATATGGTGGGGAGAACCCTTATTTCCACTCCCCATGTTTTTATGAGGAGGGATCCCACCAGAGTAGCTCTCCTGGTCTCCTCCTGCCCATTCACTTGCCCACCCACCCACTCTCTCCTTCCCCCGTCAGTGTCGAAGAAGGAACTAAGCATGTGTGGCTGAGGCGCTACCTCTCTTCTCCCTTTGGGACCTGCCTGCCTATGGCAAGTGTTCTCCCTACTCTCAGCCGTGTGATGAGTTTAGTAGAGCAAGCTCTCCTCCTTGTTGGGGAAGCTTGCAGTGTGGGGCAATGAAGTTCATTTCAAAGGAATATTAATAACCCTGTTTGGCCCTCAACACATTCTCCAAATGGCTTTAATCAGTAATAAAGGTGCCATTTTAATCTATATCTGCCTGACTCCTATATCTATCTCGGGAAAGATCAAGGATTTTATTTGTATACACAGATATAAGGCCAAAAGGGGCAAGGTGGCAAAGGCCAGTGAGAAACGTGTTGTCATTGCAGGTATTGTGAGGGACAGGGAAGGGCATTCACATGATTTGCTGTTATAAATCTTGGCCCAAAGTTCCGGAATGTTCCTATTTCAACTCACTGTCCTCTACCTTTCCCACACTCATTGTCAGTTTCTAGCTACGGACAATCTCTCTCAAGAAGACAGGCTGAAGCAATGCTTCTCCAATATTAGAGTGCATACAAATCCCCTGGGGATCTTGTTAAAATGCAGATTCTGAGTCAGTAGGTCAGGCGGGGACCTGAGAATCTACTAAGCCCTCAGGTGATGGTGAAGCTGCTCATCTGCAGACCACACGCTGTTTAGCAAGTGGCTAAGACATACAATATTCCAAATCCAGGTCCCTAACCTGGGGTTCAGGCTCTACAAAAGTGGCAGTGGAGGCTCATGAGACACTTCCAACATTTTAAAATGCCTAGTGGATACCATACCCTCTATACATGCAATGAAAGTGCTCAAACTAAATAATCTATTAACCAATTATCTTTGGGGCTATTATAATATCAAATCAGTGTGACATCATAATTAGCTACTCTCTTTTTTTTTTTTAATAATTTTATTTATTTATTTTTCCCCCCAAAGCCCCAGTAGATAGATAGTTGTATGTCATAGCTGCACATCCTTCTAGTTGCTGTATGTGGGACGCGGCCTCATCATGGTCGGAGAAGCGGTGCGTCGGTGCGCGTCCGGGATCCGAACCCGGGCTGCCAGCAGCGGAGCACGCACACTCAACCGCTAAGCCACCGGGCCGGCCCTAGCTACTCTCTTTGACACATGTTCAATTAGTAAAAAAGTGGAAAAATAAATTTAGGGTTCCTTTTTGCTAAAATAAAAATTTCAAAACATGGTAGAACAGGTGTGGCAGGAAGAAAGTTAAACATGTTGTGAATGTCTTTGGGACTCGTGGCCACTTAAACATCCACATTTAGTCACTGACAGCCTGGTTCCTGCCTCTCTAAAACCTGGGTTCCCTCCCTGCAGCCAGAGGCCCGCCACTACCCTCAGCTGCACAAAGCTGAGCTGCTGGGCCAGGTACCTGGTCTTGTCAGATGGAGTGGCAGGGTCCACGACTTTCAGCAGGTTGTTCTCCAGGACGTGGAGGAATGGGCCTACTGCCATCTGAAGACTTTCCCTATGGCAAGTAAATAACATTTAAGCACCCAGCAGGCCTTGGCACACAGGGGATGCAGGCTGGTTCTGCCTCCTATGACCTCATGAGCCCATGAGGAGTTGAGAAAAAGACAAGTAATGCACGAGGGACAGCAACAGGGAAGAAGGAGAGAAATAGCGTTGCCTCAAGCTTGAGGGTTCTCCGTGCCCAAAGACTTCCAACAACAAAGGCACCAGGATGTAGACCTGCTATGAACACCGCTGAGATGGGAGGGGCTGAGGGAGTGGTAACCAGGATAAGTCATGAAGAACTAGGCCTTCAGGAATCAAAGAACCAAGCTGGGAAGGACAGGGTGGACTGATTTCCGGGAATTCCAGAAGGCCCTTAGAAAAGTGATCCCAAGGAACAACATCCTGAACTATGCTTCCTATGTGCCAGCCCTCCCTCTTTGGAGTTTAGACCATAAGGACATTTCTTATTTATTTGATTTAACAAGAAGTTCAGCAGTAGTGCTCACAGGGTTGGTGCTGTGGTTCCACTTTCATTCTCAGGAGGGTCACCTCACGATCACAAGGCGGCTACTGCAACTCAGAGCATGTCGTCTCACAGTAGCAAACAACGCAGAAAGATGGGGGCAGTAAGCGGCAAAAAGGCTTGGCTTTGGTGCCTTTTACTTTTTATCAAACAGAAACAAAAAAAACGTCTCCCAGAATTCCCAGAACCCAATCACCGACAAAAGGGAATGGAGTTGCCGTGATCGGTTTAGACCAATCCTTATTCATGGACTGGGTAAATGGCCACCTTTATAAATCAAGGAACACTGAAGCAATGGACGAGGAGCAGGCAACCAATACCATACGCAACATACTCATTCCAAAAGAATGTGTGCAGGCCAAGCCAAGTTGGATAGCATTGTGAGGTTGCAACCATTTGTCCTTAAGAAACACCAGTTTTATGAAACCAGGGCTAATTGGAATGGACAGGAAAATGGATCAGGTCTTATTTAAAATGCTTTACACTAGGAGAAAGTAAACTATGGCCATGGGCCAAATCCAACCCACCCACCTGTTTTTGTAAATAAAGTTTTATTGGAACACAGCTGTGCCCATTTGTTTGCATATCATCTATGGCTGCTTTCATGCTACACAAGCAGAGATGAGTAGTTGCAACAGATAATGCATGGGCCGCAAAGCCTAAAATATTTACTAAGTGTGTGTGTGTGTTCATGTTAGTGGAGGTGAGGGCAGTGAGCAACAACTTAGGTCTGGTGGGACCACTTCAGGAACAGATGAGGAAAGGTGGTAAGTCACAGGGAGTGGCAGCAAGCTGAGTGGCATGGCTGGAACCCCCTGGATGCTCTAGGCGAGTGCACAAGTGGATACACTCAGTCTGAGTGGGAGAAAAGCAGTCAGAGGCTCTTATTCTTATGCAACAGAATGAAATGTTAGCTGCTTTTTCCTCCCACTCATCTTTCCCAGCACTGTTCCTCTACTTCTCATGTCCTCCTCTACCAAGTCACCTATTCTCACTGCAAGCTGAATGTTCTTAACCAATCAGAAAAAGGTGTTTTTTGAAATGTGGTAAGAGGGAAACTCTCCATTCTGGTAGTCAGGAAGCAGGCCTCCTAAAAACAGACTTAGGTTCCAGGAAAAGGGAGAAAACATAGGACTGGCTGTCAGAAGGTCTGGGTCCGAGTACCGGCTCTGCCACTCGCTAGCCGAGCCTAGGCAAGGTACCCACATCTCTCAGGCCCAGTTTCTTCATCTATAAAGCCAGGCCTTGGACCCTGTCAGGAACAATGACACCTACCTCACAGCGAGAATGTGAAACTAATTTATAAATTATAACGGGATGAATAAAGTGAGTAATAATTATTCTTCCTTCAGCTCCTCCACCCAAATCCTTTGAAACTTAAAGGAAAAGGAAAAAGTCAGTGATTAAGAGGAACTCGCTCAAGTGGTGGCTCCTGGTTCTGTATAACAGTGAATGAAAGCACTAGGTCACCAGCCCCAGCTTCACAAGTGTGAGAATCTGGGGCCGAGGCCATTCAGTTGGCCAGCAGAATGGGGTGATTTCGGCCTCTGCGCACACAGAGACGCCAGCTGGCAGGTGTGGGCAGGCCTGATGAACCCCCTTCCCTACACACTGGGAGGCCTGACCAAGCATGACTTTATGCCAGCAGCTGAGGAGGCCCCTCACCTGTCTTCCCTTTGCAGGACGTACAAGGCTGAGTCCACAGCTCTCTGTTCAATCATCCGTGCAAATCTCTTCAGCGTGGGGCAGCTCGGGAGGCTGTGTACCTGAAAGGGCCATGGGTACATTTAGAAGGAAATGCTTCGCACTCACTGAGCCTGGCAGCTAAGCAGCTTCCGTGGAGACTTCAGGGGCCTGTCTTCTCCTGGGGAGGGCCTTAGCTCAAAAAGCTATGTCCCCATGGACCTTCTCAAGCTGTTCCTAGAGAGCCAAAGGCCCAGAAAAAAAATTGTTTTGCCTCCCTTTCTGATGGCTCCCCATCTACTCCAAAATGAAAAATGTATTTTTTTAAATTGTAACAAAAAAAAAAGATGAATAAAATATAAGGCAAGAAATTCATAAATTTCTACTTCGTCTTCCTTTTCCCCAAAATGATTTCTAAAAAGTATGACATATAAATACTTTATATAAACTCTTGTCTTATAACCTTAAACCCATTTTGCACATAAGCACAAGGTGCATTTCTGTCTTCAGGGTACACTGTTATCTTCACAAGAGAAGGAAGGAGGATCCAGGCTATACTGCCTTTGAGTGTCTGACTTCTGAATCTATAGAAGCATTTTCCACTGTGTGGTTTTCAGTATTCATTAGATTAAAAAGATTCTGTGGCTAAATAAGTTTGGGAAAAACAAACTTAAAGATTAACCAGTTTTCTTTCCTTTAGGCTTCTCAGATTCTTTAATATGTTGATGTGCATACAGACTCTCCAAAAAGTGATACAATAAACAGGGATTCCAATTTTTTTTTTTTTTTTTTTGGTGAGGAAGATGAGCCCTGAACTAACATCTGTTGCCAATCCTCCTCTTTTTGCTGAGGAAGATTGGCCCTGGGCTAACATCTGTGCCCATCTTCCTCTACTTTATATTGGACACTGCCACAGCATGGCTTTGACGAGCAGTGCGTCGGTCCGTGCCCGGGATCTAAATCTGTGAATGCTGGGCCACCAAAGCGGAGCACGAACTTAACCGCTACGCCACCAGGCCAGCCCCAAAGGATTCCAAAATTTTTAGACAGCAATCCCTCCCTACCCATTGCCCACCCCACCTCTGCCCGTCCATTAATATACACATTCAAATCGCCAGTAATCTGGGGAATGTGCTTTTAAGAAACTTTATCTAGAGTTAAATGTCTGTGCTCCTAACCAAGGAGTCCTCCTTGATTGTTCCCTGTCCCTCAGTTCCCATATCCATTCCATCTGCAAGTCCTATCACAGCTGCCTCCAAACCAGGAGGCCTCCACCCACTTCTCTCCACCTAGTTCTAACCTGGGAGCCAGACCATCCAGGTGCCTGCCCCAGGCTCCCCCACCCCCAGGGCCGGAGGAGGACAGTCACCCCACCTGCTCAGCAGCCATGTTGTCAAAGAGGATGAGGAAGTCCACTCCATCACTACTGGCAATGCCCATCCCCTCCTTCACCTTTTTCAAATCCTCTGAGATTCCTGGCTGCAAAGAGGCAGACTGCTTCCGGCCACTGCCAAAAAATAAAAAGTAATCCCTTAGATTGTATGGTGATGAACAGTTTACAAAGTGTATCTTATTCATCATTTGGGATCTCATTTAATCCTCAACAACAACTCACTGGGGTTAGCTTGTATTATTCCCATTTTACAAATGAGTGAACTAAGGCTCTAAGAGGTCCAATGACTTGTAAAGGTAAGTTAGCAAGTACCAGGGCTAGAATAAAAGCCTGGACTTTCCAAATCCCACTCTAGCCTTTTCTTCTATTATACCAAAAACGACACAAGTACGGCCCAGGTCTGCTTGAAAACAGCATTCTCTTTCTTCTGTGGAACACATACTATATGGTTTTTGCAAACCAGAAATACCTGAAAACTGAAAAGTGCCATCAGCCCAAATCAGTCTATCCCACAGGGCAGCATGTTAGTAAGAGAAGGGAAATCGGTGTCTCCTCCTGTTTGCCCCTCTGCATTTGCAGTTCAATGACTGGTTCAGCAATCTTTTATTTAACCTGTCAGTTTCTTCATCTGGCCCACCTGAGAGCCCAGGATTGTTGAGAAGATAATGGTTTCTGAATGGCAAAGCTCCACTCATGGCTGTATACCATCCCTCCAGCCCACACATGGCTTTCCCCTGGCTTCCTGTACCTTCATTATGAGCCTGCCACTGTGAGCAAGAGCTTCTTCACTTCCCGGACAGCTGATGTCAGACCTGGGTGTAATGCAATCCCTCCCATTCCTTATCCACCAGCAGGTAAGCCTGGGCAGGCCTCAGTTCAGGGAGAGTCCTGCCAGCAAAAGTGGTAAAAGGCTATCTGTCCCTCCCTAGTGAGCAAGAAGCCAGGCAGTTACCTGGTCCTTTCCCGCAGGCTCTGGCAGTTTTGGTAGTTGGGGTACAAGACTTCAGAGCTTGCTTCATCAGTGTGGATGATGATGGGTCCTGGAAGGAAGCACAGGCAGGAAGAGGCTTCAGCTTCTTCTTCCCAGCATCTCCACCCCCTTATTCTTCTCTTTGTCTATACAGATGGAGCTGTTCCAGGAGGCAGATCACCAAGGTTACTCCTTAAGGACAGTGAACACCTTCAACATGCCCTGGCCTTGCCAACAGGAACTCTCCTGTGGTTTGAGCAATGGAGAAAGCGAGTAGCAGCCTTGCTCTGTCTAGGACAACCCCTCCTATTGGGCCACATATAGCCTAGAGCAAGTACAGACCTGGATCAGACTGGCACTTCCCTGACCCATTCCAAAGAATCCTGCCTCAAGGCACTACCAGCACTTGGGCATTCTAATAAAAAATGGGCCGGCCTTGACTTTATCAGAACTAGGTGGCTTTCTTACTTCCCAAAGTCCAATCTTATGAGCCAATATGGTGACTTATCACAAGACAATCTAAGAAAGGTGACCACAGGGCCACAAATCCTCTCAGACCCTATAGCCTTGTCCAAAATGCAAGCCAGGCTTCCAGATGAACTGCCAGGAACCAAAGATTAGACTACAGTGTTTCTTATATACCTGCAGCAGCTTGCTACTGCTCAGAGCTCACAAGTACCTTTGTTTCCTCCCATCAGTGCCCAAGAAGGGGCTTGAACACATTCCCATGCTTTGTTCTGTGCCACAGATGGCAAGGACTGGTGGCAGCTTCCCATCCTACACAGCTCAGTCCTGACCTTCTCTGATGGCAAAAGAAATAGCTCCCATTGGCCGCTCTTTGAGATTTACTGAGGTCAATCTGGGGAGTGATTAGGTGACTCTAAGCCCCAAAGAGCTATTAGTCCCAAACAAATTATTGATAGTCAAAACTCTAGGACTTTAAAAGTAGCCTATAGTAACTTTACCAGAATATCAGAATTCAGACACACTTTGTTGGTCAAGTGATCTCGCGCCCTCTCCAGATATACATCTCCTCTGAGAAGCAGTAGAGTGTAAGGTAAAGGGTACAGATTCTGCAACCAGGCAGACAGAGTTTGAATCCCAGCTCGACCACCTACCAGCTTTGTGTCCCTGGGAAAGTCATTTAGCCTCTCTGTGCCTTAGTTCTCTTATCTGTAAATTGGGGATAATGTCACCTACCTCACAGGGTTAGTACAAGAATTAAACAAGTTGATATATGCAAAGCTCTTAGAACGATGTTTGGTGCATAGTAAGTCCCTTAAATATTAGAATAATAATAACTATGATTTAAACCTTTAATATAACACATGATAATTCCTATCTGGTGTCTGACATTTGTGTCTGAATATTGGACCTAGAGTTTATGATAAATAAGGCATATTTGAGTTGGCAGTCAAATATATGTTGTATGAACGACTGACTAAATGGTACAGACCAACAACCTCCCGCTTCCCCTCTGCAGCTTACACATAACCCTCTGGGACTTCTCTAGGATTTTACTCCTAAAACAACATCCCAATGTTGTACCACTTCCACTAAAGGTAGCACCTTGTGAGGTTCTTTGGTCTATTCAAGTCCCTTGATACTGAGCAAGGTATGGCAGTAGCTGTGACAGAAGTCAAATTGGAGTCCCAGGACATCTGGATCTGGCTGGTGCAGGGAGTTGCCCCCCAGGCAGCCACCCCAGAAGCTGGTGATACCACTTCCTTCCTTGTCAGAAACCTGGGGCACCCTCAGTCTAAGACCTGCCTGTAGATCAGGCTGCTACCACAAAACATCTTTCCTACTTCAGTCATACTTTTGGTGTTTCTGAGGAGCGGACATTTGCCTTTTAGAAGCTGAGCAAGTGAAGAGCTTTCAGAAGGCCACGCACTGTGGATTATTCCTAAGCTCAGGGGCTCCCAAGAAGTAAAGGGCAGTCCACTCTGTTTGCTCTATGACACATGCTGTTTGTGTTCAGCAGCCAATTTCAGCCAGAATTAGCAGCATTACCCAACCCAGGTGGGGGCAAGGCCAACCTCCTCTGGCCTGGAAGTTTCTATTATTTTACATAATTTTTTAAAAGCCTGATGGAAATTTTATATCTATTTGAGATACTGCTAAAGAAGCTACACAAAATAACAAGAATCTTTGCCTTTTTGGCACCATTTTAGTATTTTAATATTGGTGAGGTCATGATGATCTGAAACTCAGACCGGCAATTAAATGTAAATTTGAATCAATTACAAATGACAAAATGCAGCTTCATTTGATAGTCTAAGGCCCTCAATACACAGGATCCATGAGGGAAAATAATAAATGTGGTCTTTGGTGGTGAAAAGGCTGGGAACCACTAGCCGCAATCATTCACTGGCTGAATATGTCGAAACCCAAACTCGACAGACTTTCTCAACTAGGAAAGGCTGAGTGGAAATCTGGGTCATGCTATGGATTACCACCAAGACCAGAGCAGTAGCAGCAGGCTTGGGTCCCAGCTAAGTGTCTCTCCTGCCATCCTTCCTTTTCAGCATAAAAGCAAAAAAGCCAGAATATTGTTCAAGACCTGACTGGGGCTGCCTCATGCAGTTTGTGTAAAAGCTTACAAGGAGAAGTCAGGAGCCAGAGGCACACCAGAGCAGCTGAGGCATTGCCGCAGATGTGGAGGTCAGGCTGGCAAAGGCAGCAGAAGGCCAGACAGGGAAGGGCCCCCTAGAGTGGGTACACCATGGAAGCCATACGTGCAGAAGAAGAAAGACCAAGGGAACAGGCACTGAGAAAGAGAGTGGGGTGGGGCTTGGGAAGTAAGAAGAAAAAGTTCCTCAGGGACAGGGGCTGACTTTCAGAGTCAAAGTTGAACCTTCTTTCTGACGTTGGAAAAGCCCAGCCAGCAAACACCGGGTAGACTCCAGATTCCGATATATATTAGTAGAACGAACGCTGGAAAAAAACGAAAAGATAGAGACACTCATAAAAGGAGGATTTAATTATATACACTCTACCTTATTCCACAGAACAGCTGGGAGGCCTTCAAGGCTACGTGAGGGGAGCTACGGAGCTGGCAAGAATCCTTTCTCTCTCTGTGGGATGGCTGAAAGCCAAGGGACCCCAAAGCCAATGAATGTGACCTCCAATGACCACCTGTTTATAGGAGCCTATTATATAAGGGTAACTGTCCCAAACTACCTTGGGTGAGAGTGGGAACCATCTGGGAGGTTTCCTCATGCTTAAGACCTTATATTGGGTGCAACATCCCCTTTTCAAGTGACTCACAAGACCTCCTGTGGGTTGAAGGTGGGTGAAAGAAAAGGGATGTCCTCCACATACTTCTTCCTCAGCCTCTCTCCCAGGGCAAACATCTGCCACATGCCCACATTAGTCAGCTGTCCAGCAAACATGCCCCCCTGAGGTTGGGGAGAAAGAGAGAGAAGAATGAAAACACCTCACAGCCTGCTAACCTCAGCCCAGAGAAATCCATCCAAGCATTGCAGTGGGCTTCCCAGAGCAGGGAAGCATTTCTCACCTTCAGCATGGTCTTACAGTATTCAGAGTCGAAAGGAGAATGTGGTTTCGGGCCACCAGCAAGACTGGTGACAGTGTAATCAAACTGAGTTTGGGGTGGGACTTCTAATAGCTGAGGGTTCCACTCTACCTGTTGTGACCACAAAAACAACACATTGTTTAAAAGGTTCTTGAACTTACAGCATTAACATCCAGCAGCACTCAGAACACATAGCTGGAATCACACTGACACTAGACTGCAACCTCCCCATGGGAAGGAAGGAAAGAAACTCTAATTTGAGCTCCAAATAAGGGAAGAAAAGACTGTGATTTATTATTCCAGGTGTCCTCAGCTCAAGTCTTATTATTGCTAAACTAGTACTCACTGTTAAGAGGCTGCTCTGGCACTAAGACTGAAGTAAAGGTGAGAAGTGGCCAGAATGCCTGGCATGCAAATACTTGGTAAGTGAATAAATGAATGAATAAATGAATATAATATAATCTCAGTTACCATTTACTTGTAAGAATTTTTTGTGTGTGTGTGAGGAAGATTGGTCCTGAGCTAAAATCTGTTGCCAATCCTCCTCTTTTTGCTGAGGAAGATTGGCTCTGAGCTAACATCCATGCACATCTTCCTCTATTTTGTATATGGGACACTGCCACACATGGCTTGATGAGTGGTGCATCGGTCCGCGCCCGGGATTCAAACCTGCGAACTCTGGGTCACCGAAGTAGAGCGTGCGAACTCAACCGCTATGCCACCGGGCTGGCCCCCTGTAAGAATTTTTAAGGAATCAACCTGCAGGTTTCTATGGCCCCCTCTTAAGGACTCTACTTAATGTCCCTTGTAACTACTACATATTTTCTTTCCTTTCATCCAATTTGCCAAACAAGTAGCTGCCCTCTAAGAAACCTTCACTTCTTCACCATCTTCCTTTACTCCTTGCAATCTGGCTCCTGCCCCAAATGTACTGTAATGGTTTTCAAAACATCACAAGTAGCCATAAGGTCTCACAGCTTCAACTGCCCGTAAAACTCTTATACACTCATTGAGTCAGATGTGATGACTTCAGTTTTAAAAACAAAAGTCTTTTGGGGCCAGCCCGGTGGCATAGCGGTTAAGTTCACGCATTCTGCTTCAGCGGCCCAGGGTTCACTCAGTTTGGATCTTGGGCACGGACCTACTCACCGCTCATCAAGCCACGCTGAGGCAGCGTCCCACATAGAAGAACTAGAAGGACCTACAACTAGGATATACAACTATGTATTGGGGCTTTGGGGAGAAAAGGGAAAAGAGGAAGATAGGCAACAGATGTTAGCTCAGGGCCAATCTTCCTCAAAAAAAAAAAAAAAGTCTTCTAATCCCACATTCCAGCTCCTCTTCCCAATTTATGATGTCTCTCTCAATGCTACCACAATTCTCCTAGGCCCCAAAACTCAAACCTCTGACTCTCCCCACTGCTCCACCATCCTGACACCAAACCCTGTCAATCACTGGCTATAAAAAAATTCACTCCCAATGGTTCTTCTTTTATCTTACTGTCAGAGTATAAAACCTTATTACCTCAGGCAAAAGCCTGTGACAGACTCACTCCCTTCCACCCCTACAATCCACACATACATAACCCTCCAATTGATCTTGCTAAGCCACTTTCATCATATTAACAGCGTTTCCCTAAAGTTTCAAGAGATAAGCATCTGCACTTCCAGGATTTCTACACCTTGGTCCAGCCCCTGTCCCCAGCTGTACTGCTACTACACCTCTCTCCTCCCCTCCCCAGACCAGACCATCCCCACTGCTTCCTCTGCATCTTCTTTCAGCTTGCTTCCCTTGCTTGGAGGGACTCCTGCCCCTATTTGCCTATCCAACTTCTCTTCAAGCTTCAGTGATAGCTCCAGTCTTACTTCCCCACCAGCGACTACTCCAGCTTTCAGTGCTCGTCTTCTTATCCGAATTCCTACAGCACTTACAATCAAAAGAACAACATTTAACTCAATTTCCCACTACTTCATTTTGCTTTAAAACTAACATTTGAAAACCTACTATGTCACATATCATTGTATTTATCTTGGCCCCTCCCAGAAATATCCCAGGAGAGTGCCACTGGGAGTCCCAGGTTCCCTTCGCACAGAGGAAGCCCTCCATTCTCCCAAAAGGCACTGTCTCAGTCCCACCTGCACCCAGTCTCCAACACCCGAGCCTCTTCCCCCATTGGTGCTGTAGCAACTGATATCAGAAGATTGGGTGTTCAGAGCAGAGACCTTCCTACTCAAGTTCTGATCCTATAACTTCCCTGCATAAAACCCTTCAAGGGCTCACAGCTGCATGATTGCCGCCCCCACGCCCCCGCCCTGCACCTTCACCACTTCTTCCCTGCCCTACATACTTACTCTCTAGCCACAACACTTTGTTTCCAATAGCATCCTCTTCACACCTCCTGGCCTTTCAATCTCATGTTTCTTCTACCTGGAATTTTCTTTTCTCTTTCATCTGGAAAGACTTCTGCTCATTCCACAAGACTCAGCTTAAATGTCCCCAGAAGCCACGACCATGGCCCTGTGCTCTCACAGCAGCCTTGGTGGCTCTTTTTGGCGGCCTTTACCAAAATGTATTAGAAGAGCTCCTTTACTAGTCTGCCCTGCTCAGTAGACTTAGCTTCCTGAGAACAGAGACTGGGTCCTCTATTGACCTCTGCATTTTGGATGCCCAACAAAGAACTTGGCACACAGTAGGTACAATTAATAGCTCCAACAATTTGCCAGATCCTGTGAAAGATACAAAGATTGAGATAACACGACCCTGCCTTTACAGGGTTTTCAGATTAGAGACAGCAAGCTATGAATATAAATGATAGCAGTACTAAAATAGAAACTATGTGCTACAAGAAACCAGATGAAGGCCATAGCAGTTCAAAGGCAGGACAGACCTTCTTTTCTGGGTAGGGATTAAGGGAGTTTCATGGAACGAATGGCATTTGAAATGAATAGGATTTAGACAAGCAAAGACCTGGACTTGAGAATAAGAGGTAGGTAAGGAGAGAGGATGGTGTTCAGAATTCCAAGAACAGATAGAAAGCTTGAGCAAAGCAGAGATGGAGAAGAATGTACATAGGAAAGAAGAGGTTTGCCTCAACCTTGGAGCAGTTTTCAAACTTTTTAATCAGCAAATATATATATAAAGGCAAAAGCTGGAGTTTCTCTAGTTGAAGTAGGACTGGGAACCCAGAGCCCCAGCTGCTCAGCATCGCCCAAGCCCACAGGCTCCACAGAATAGTCTGAAAGCCAGCAGTATGGATTACAATCGGAATGGGAGACTAGATGCAGAAAAGCCAATTTCAAGATGTCTGTAGTAGAGTAGATCAGGGCCTAAGGCCTCATGTAAGGCAGTAGGAAGAGAAGGGGTAGATGCAAGACATTTGAGTCAAACTTGGCAAGTGAGTAGATAAAAGCTTTACTTGGGGGCCATGTTGGCAGGTAAACAAGGAAGAATAAAGAAAAAAATTACTTTGATTTTGAGCCTGGGTGTCTAAGGTGACAAGGACAATGGAGGTACTCCTTGACTGAAAGGTACTTCTTGAAATTAAGACCAAGACAGTTGATAAGCTGAATTCAGTTTTGGACATTTTAACTTTGAGATACCTCCTCTGTGTTCCTAGCACTCCCAGCATATTCTCATAATTGGAACCTCGTTTGTCTCTCTCCTTCACCTCACTGTAAACTCCTTTACAGCCGAGACTGAATTATCCATCCCTCTAAGCCCAGTGTCTAGCATGGGTCCTGACACCAGATCCACAGGGCCTGTTCAGCTTCACTAAGAAATCTCCTGTTAAGCACATTCACCAACAGAGAATCTTTGGTGTTTCCCAGGAGATGACTCCCGAAAGTCTAGGTCATATCAAGTCTAGATATTTTCACATTTTCAGATTTTCAAGAATGGATGATACCTCAGTTCCACACACGGTGTCCACCCCACATACACACTCTCATTCTTGTTTCTGCTCTTCAGCTTCCGAGTTAGTGGCTAAGACTAACTTTATTATTTTACTTATTTATATGCCATTTTCAAAAACTAACTTAAAGTAGATGACAGTGATAGCTCAAAGATAGTAAGACAACCAACTCAAAGTAGGCCAGAAAGACAAAAGCAAATGAGTATAGGGACAAAAAATAGATATATACAGTAATAATTTCTCAAAAATGCACACCATGAAGATCCATATACTTATTGTAGGTGGGCCAAAGATTTGGCACTAAGCTTTCTGGCTTTCATGTAAAAGGAGAAACTTGATCAGCTAGACAAGCTTAAAGAGAAAAGCAAGCCAACTGTTCAGGAGAAGCACATCATTTCTAATGCTAGCAGACAAATTCCTCCCAAGGGTCCTCATAAAGAGGATAGAGTAATATAATGAACATCTTTTCAGTAGTCACAGCAACGAGTTCTATGGGATTGTTTTTCACAGTTTCCTCAACACAGAAGGATAGCATCTCACCAAAGTGCATTTCTGCAAAGACAATACTATACTGGGATCAATATGCTACATTCCAGGTAAAAAAATAATCTACATAAAAGTAAACAAAAATCTTCCACGTGTAGATTTTAGAATAAAGCAATGGTTTTAATCCTTGGCTGCACACTGGCATCACTGGGAAAGTTTTTAAAAGTTACCAACGCCTAAGCCCCGTCCTGAGCTAATCACATCTGTATCTCTTGGGATGGAGCCTCAACTCTTTTAACGCTATCCAGTCCAGAGAATTCTAATGCTTCACCAGAGAAGCTTTTACAATGTCTGGATGCTCTGGGCCAATTAAATCAGAATCTCTGGGAGGCAGAAGCAGGCATCAGTATTTTTTAAAGTTCCCCAGTTGAGCCTGACGTCCCACCAAGGTTAAGAACCCTGCTCCAGAGGACTAAATGGAGTGACTGGCACATCTTTCATGCAGTGCTTCTCTTAGCTGAGCTTGGGTTAAGTATTAAGCAAAAATGAGACTGACATTATGCTTCTCAGCTTGTCTATATTATCAAATAAACATGGACCCAAATGCTTTAATCAACAGTGGAGCTGGGATGGGTTGGACTTTATTTTATAAAAACTGAGGAATCTGCCTGGGTTGGGGACCATCTTGCCATCGTCTGGAGAGGAACTGAGGGAAATCCAAAAGCAGGGCCAAATTCATATTTTGAAAGTGTACTTGGAGCTAATCTAATGATCAGAAAAAATGGCCAATTAAGTTCCAGAGTTTCATTTCCAGAGCAGAGACACAATACTTTTAGAAAGACAGGTTAAGTCAACAGCCATTCAAGCCATAAGAAAACAACTCAATTAAACATCTAGTTTTAAGCAATGCTACTTCCCAAGGATTTGTGAGATAACTGAATGAAGTGACTTGTCACATATGTTTATCTATAAACAGTCAGAAGTCTGGAAACATCTACCAAACGCAGTTTTAGCTTTAGAATTGTTGCCAGATAGTCCTTTCTGACTATAATTAATAGCAGAACCAGGAAGATTAGAAATCCCAATAACAATCTCTACCAACTTGGATCTTGAAAAGAAAACCTGAGAGAGAATATCCAGAAACAAGTTATAGGAGGTCAATGACCCTCACTCATAGCCTAAATTGAAAGAAAGTTGGGTCCACCCCTGGCTTCTATGCACAAGACTTTATACAAGATAACCAAAGATGTTTAATGCATGTGCCTAGTCTGGAGAATGTGAACAGGCAGGAAGGGTTACATGCCTTCCCTAATTGCAAAGCGAGGCCGTGGACTCAGATGCTCCATATTTTGTGGCTAAACAGAGAATGAATGAAGCTGGCATTCTACCTGAGCTACAACTGCCTCTTTCAATGTAAAGGCAGAAGATACCCATTACACACCCACTGGCTCAGGAGAAAGTCCTAAAAGAATCTAAATCTTTTTCCAGGTCCTTCAGGGAGTATATATACTGTACATACTAGGTCCACACCTAGACATTCAGACTTTTATTCTCTGCTACCACTGGTAACTTTGCCTTTAAGGCAAGTCTTGTATTCCTATATGTTATTTTCCAGCCTTTCTGTAACAAGAATAAACGGAGAAGAAGGGGGAGTGCATAAGAGATAGGCTATGTATAAAATCATAGGGAAAATTTAGTGACCTTATATAAAAAGGCAAAGTAGGGACTGAAAAAAGATCAAAGCATCAAAAAGAAAGGGATGGAGGGAGAGAGAGAGAGAAAGAAAAGAAATTCCAGAACCAAATAGAAAGTAGTATAGCCATATAGAAAGGCTAACTAGAAATCTGCCAGATTTTACTTATGTGGGAAGTGCTTTAAAGGTTTGATTTCATGTGTGGCCAGCTTTAAAAACTGAGTTTTCAGTTGTACAATGTGAGGACATGATCCTGAGGGTTTCTGGAAAGCAATTATGATCATGAAGAGTATGTCTAATATCAGATTTGGACATCCTGTTGAACCTGCTCCAACAACAACTTGGAGGACTTATTCCAACATCAACTTTTGCAACAATGCAAAAGTACTCCACAAGTAAGTGTGAAACCTGGGAGCCTGGGGACTTCAGGTTGCCTATCCATCTTCACTAGAAAGCCAGTTGTTCAATCACAGGCCTGCCTGCTATGAAAGGCCATAGATCTTCACTGGATCTCCCCAAAAATCAAATCTAGCAAGGGTAATCATTTTAAAAACTAATTATTTGTGCTTTAATCATAATTACCCTGACCAAACCAGGTAGATAATAAGATATTATAGACACAAGACTAGCCAATTTTTAATCTTTTTCCTACCTCAAATCCCTTCCACAATAGGTTTAGAAACCCAAAATAGAAAAAGGAGAGCCCAAGATACAGCACTTTTACCAAAAAGCCCTCAAGGGATCTCAAAGGGTCTCCAGCAAACCCTGAGAGAAAGCTGCTGCAAAATCTGTTCCCAAAGGCCTTGACCTCTGTTATCCACTATGATCCCAGTTAGGGTGGTTCCCGTCACAAAGGTCCCTGCAACCCTTTGGCAACCTTCAAAACGGTCACGCAGAAATGCACTACACCCTTGTACTCAAGTTCACCCAAATATTTGCCAGAAATGCAGAATCTCAGGCCTTAGCCTACACCTGCTGAATCAGAATCCGTATTTTAACAAGATTCCTAGGCGATTTATATGCATGATAAGTAGGGCAGTACTACTAGCTGCGCTACACCGCAGCCACCAGAGGCGCAACTGAAAGTTCCCGGGCTGCCCCACACCCTGAGCGTCCGAGGGGGTTGGGGAGGTGCCAGGCCAACACCTTTGCTCGAGAGCCCAGGGAGGATCTGGCTACTGCTATTTTCCCTTCGTCTGGACTCAGCCCGAAACCCGCTTCGTGAGGGTAAAATTCCAAAGGTGTGTGTGTGCTTGGGGCGAGGCTCCTAGCCCGCCACTGGTTGGCCACACAGTCCTCGCCCCACCAACCCCGGCCCGGGCCGACCTCTCACCTGCTCCTTCTGAGGGAGAGGCTTGAGAGGACTCCGCGCCCCATGCCGAAACACGACCTGCACCATTTTCAACTCCAGCAGGCTTCGGTCGACCGGATGCTGGCGGTTCCGTCGCTGCGGCTCGGCCAGGGCCACCCGCCGCTGGTGGAGGCAGTACGCCAGCGAGGTCAGGACGCCCACCGGAGCCCACGTGCGCACGCTGAAGACACCAGTGATCATGGTGGAAGCCCCTCGGGGTGAGGCTGCAGAAGGCGAACACAAGCTCTCCGCCGGCGCCGGGGCTCAGCGACTACGCCCAAGTTTCCAGGAACCGGCGGGCGCTCACAAGCAGTGCCCCAACAAGCTGGGACCGCTGCGACTCTAGCCCTGAGGGGGAACCCCAACGGGAGCGTGGAGGAAGTGGATGTGGGAGCAGCGAAGACTCCCTGGGAGTTTTAACCCGGGTCGGAGTTGGCCGCTCCTGCTGCAGACTGGCCCGGGGGAGCTCAGCTGCTTATCTTTCACTCTCTAGGGAACCTTAAACTTATATTCCAAGTTTGGCCTCTAGCACTCTTGAAAGGACAGAAACCAGCCCTAAATTCCTCGCCGGCAGTGACTCCACTAAAGCAGACAACTGGATTCCACTTTTCTACAAGCAAGCTCTCACCCACCTCCTCACCCACCCAAGGGACTTGTCCCAAGTGGGTCCGCGCAAAGGAGCAAGGGAAAACGAGTCCCGCGGTGACGCCTGTCCGAAGGCTCTGAGTTGCGAGAACTACAACTCCCACAAGGCCGCGCGCGGCCGGGGCGTACTCTACGGGCGGCATTTCCCCGCCCCTGGCAGAGGGCCTCACCCGTCAGGCCCAGCCGGTAGAAGTCTCCGGGATTGGGTGGGTGGTGTAGAGGGAGTGAATCAGCGAGCTTGCGAGGCCGATGGACTAAGAAACGTGAGGACAGGGGTAGAATTGGGTGATGGAAGGGAGTATTTTGAGTCTAGGGAGTATGGAAGACTTTCTTGAAGTCCTGGAAGCGCCTGGAAGGGGGGGTTGCTGAAACTAAGAGCGCAGACACCTACTTAACTGAGTGATGACCATTCGCCAAGGGCGACACTAGGTGTTTTATATTTAATCTTCATTTACTGTCCCCCTTCTATGTTTAAAGAGGCTTAAATCATTGCAGACATGTAGAACTTTAAGTTCAATGATTGTTCACTTACATCCGGAATATTTCTTGTGGAAAAATCCCGGCCTTGCCTGTGAGTGTCCCACTGACTAAGCACCTTAATTTACAAAGAAAAATGCCAACTTTAACCACCTGCTAGTATGATTTCTCTTGAATGTACAGCTACCCAAAGACTGTGTTTTGGATTTTCGCAACAGGACACAATCGAACCATCTGTGTCCATCTCAAGGCAAAGGTCAAGTGGAAAGGACAGACATTTGTGAGGAGAAAACTGAAAATATGTCATCTAACCAGTTCTTTCATCATTCTAAAATCTGTCCTTGGATCAAACTGGGCCAGATGTGAAGACAGCATACTTATGGAGTATGGCTCCTGATCTGAGTCTAAACTTGTTCACCAGAACGTTCTGAATGTCCTACTGTGGGAGAAGGGTCGTTTTGGAACACTGCACATTGTCACAGTTTTCCCCCGGCCAACCCCATGGACTCACTTTTCAGAGCCTTGTTGTGTGTCCTGAGGATTAAAAACTGTTTTTCTATAGTATAAGTAAGGCATCAGGAGCGCCAGAGAATGCTGCCTCGGAACTAGTGTAATGAAATGTATCCCCAATGGCTGAGGAGAGCCATTCTCAACAGTTCAGTGCAGAAGGGCCCTGGTATTTGAGCAGCTTCAGCAGCCCTGATGGTTTTAGCACATCAGAGTAGCTTCAAGGCAATATAATGTTGGCATCTGGGGACCAGTACCTTCTGCAGTAATGGGCAGTTCACCCTAGTCCACCGCATGCACTTTGGCAGACTTGTCAGACATGAGCAGCAGCTTTGACCTGTATGAGCAATAGCAGTGGCTTGTCCTGTCAGGGTGTGCATATGTGGGTGGGGGTGGGGGCCGGGGTATGTCTCAGCAGAAGATCACTGCAGGAAGCCAGAGCAGGTGAGGTTGGAAAATGACGGATTCCATATGGTAGTTGAAAACACTGTTGGCAGCACGTGTGAGACAGCCTTGAGAAAGTCCGTAAATATTTGGTGTATGATGTATGGTGGTTTTGGTAGTGGTAATAAGTTGCAGTTTTCAAGAGAGGCTAGAAATCCTGAAATCATGCTCTGGGGATGGCCCCAGAGAGTTGAGAGACTGAACAATTGTTGTGACCCTGGTTTTACCATCAGGCAGGGATGGCTTGGGAAATAAGCCCTCCTCCCACCCAATTGTCTTCAGAGGGTTGCATTTAATATTATGCCAAAACTCAGTTTTAATCATGAAATTAGATAAGAAACAACCACATTCACTGTTTTATCTCCAATAGTGACCACAGTGCCTGGCTCATTGTAAGTACTCCATAAATACTTGCTGAATGAAATAGGATATATCATAGGAATGTTGTTGATGTCCATTACATCACTTAATGCTCCCTATGTATATATCCTCCTGAGAAATTGGTTTTAGAGCAAAGTGTCAGCATTAAAAAGTATGAGGATTACTTTTCCTTCATTTTTGCATTGGTTGACAGGAAGCTTGGAGCCTAATTTTAAACTTAACTACAGCAAATATTTAGAATCTAATGGCCAGTATAACTGATCTTTCCTTCAGGGTATCACCCTTGATTGGAAGGGAGCAAAACTGGAAAAAGGTCAGTTAGGAGGCTGTTGCAACATTCCAGGTATGAACCTGTAGGGGGTAGAGTTAACAATAGAGTGAGAGGGAGGAAGGAGTCAAGGATGATTCCTAAATTCCTGGCGTGGGCAACTTGCAGAGGATACCATTTACTGGAAGGAGGTTGAGCAGAAATTAGCAAGTTAGTTTTGAATATGTACATTATGAGGTACCTGTAAGGCATCTAAATAGAAATGCCCTCTAGACAATTGATTATGTAGGTCTGGAGCTCGGAGTAAGTTTGGACTAGGAATATATACATGCGACTCCTCTGCACATAGTTATTAACTGAAACAATAGGAGTGGATAAGATTCCCAGGGTGAGTGGGTAGAGTGGGAAGAGAAAAAGAGGGGGGCTAGGACAGAACTCTGAGAAACCCCACCATTTAAGGGAAGAGCAGAGAAAGAGAAGCCTGAGAAGGAGTGGCAGAGAGATAGAAAGAAAAGACTTAGGTATCAAGGAAGCCAAGAGAAGAAATGTTCTAAGAAGAAGGGAATGGACATCAGTGTCAGATGGAACTGAGAGGGCAAGTACTGTACGGACCAAGTGTCCATTGGATTTGACAACAAAGTAGTCTTTGGTCACTTTAATGAGAGAAGTTTCAGTGAAATAGTAGGGTAGAAATTAAATAGAAGTGGGCGGTGAGTGGGAAGTAAGTGTAGACATCTTCAAGTTTACCTGAGAAGAGGAGGTGAACTGGAGGTGTTTGGTTCATGAAGTTAAGAGAGAATTGTCTCTCGAAGATGGGAGAAATTTGTATGTATGTTTAAATGTTGATAGAAAGAAAGAAGGCTGTGGATAGGGAGTGATTGAAAATATAAGAGACATGATAATAGCTTGAGTGAAGTGCTTAGGAGGGTAGGAAAAGATGAAAAATGAGCTTAGATATCATTATTAGCCTCAGGAGGAGAAAGTGTATATTTTCCATGTTGACAGGAGGGAAAGAAGAAAGAATAGGCATGAGTGGAGTTACATTTATAGTGTGGGAATTAGAGGGTTTTTTTTTTCTTTAATGGTTTCTTTTTTCTACAAAATCAATGTGTGTGTTTGGGAGCGGTGTTGTTGCTTTTGAAGATTTGAGGAACATGGGAAAGTGAAATATTTTCAGTATACACGAGAGACAAGGTGATAACTAGGTAACCAGAGGCTTGCCGGGTACCCCTGAAAGCCCAGCAGAGAACAGGTTTTCTCCAACTTTATGGTCCATCAGAATTACCTGGGGTGTTTGTTAGAATACAGGTTCCAAAGCACCAATATATCTTGCTAGATCTGGGTGGAGCCCAGGACTCTGTATTTTAAATAAGCACCCCAGGTGACTCTGATATAGGAGCTCTTCAGATCATACTTGGAGAACTGCTGATAGAGAGTCAAGGAGGGGGTTATTTTAATATGGGAGAATTTTTCATAAAATGGAGAAAAAGGCCGGTGAGGAGGAAACAACTAAGAAGACAAAAAGGAATAACTGAGAGGGCAAAATCCCTAGGGAGGTGGAAGAAGGTGTGATAAAGAAGAAAGGAGGAAAGATCAGCCTTGGACAGGAGAAGTGTCACCAGTCTAATTAAGATCAGCCTTAGGAGAAGGGTTATTTCTTTCATTAAGGGTCACCTTCCATTAGGATGGGAGAGAAGGAGATAAAGATAGACGTAGAGGCAGGTGACATTAGTAGTTTCACCTCCAACAAGTTATTTCCCCCAGCGATATCTCCAGCAAGCTTGGAAAAGAGAAAAAACATCAATAATAATAATTGTTATTATTATTGAACATCGAGTGCTTACCATGTACCTAGCATTAAGCTAAACCTTTTACATGCAATGTGCCATTTAATCCTCATAGTAACTCATGTGGTAGGTCCTATCACCATTTCTTAGAGAAAGAAACTGAGGTTAGAGAACACAGAAGTTAAGTGACTTGCCCAAGATTGCACAGAGCTGAAGTGGCAGAGCCTGGGTAGTCTGAATTGGATCCCATGTCTGTCTGACGTCTGAGCCTACACTATGAGCCACAGATAGTATACTGCTAAACTTGTATTGGGGAGGGGGTAGTAATTTGTGTGATATTTAGCATTGATGATATCCCTCTAACATGTGAGATTGAAACTTTGTTTTTCCTGCATGACTTCTCCCAGTAAGTCTCTTTCTTCCTACCATCACCTCAGTCCTAATTGATGGGTTCCTAACTATTTTTTTCTGGGATATCAGTTAGAACTCTGTCTGTGGCAAGTTGCAGAAAACTTGACCAAAGCTGGTTTAATAGGAAAAAAGAAAAAAATGAATTAATTAGCCCACGTAATTCAGAACTGTCTCAGGCTTAGCTGTGTAGAAGGTCAGATAATATTGGTTTCTGGTTTCTTTTGCAGCCTCCAGCTCCATCTCGCACTCTGTTGCCTTTTCCCTCAAACTTTAGCTGGTGCCTCCCAGCTCACCCCCAGGTCACAGAATGGCTATGGCAGTTTTACTGTCTTCACCACTCAGTATAACTGGAAACAAAGAGCTCTTTTTTTTTCCCCATATAAACAGAAATCCTGGGCCTCAGAATCATTTGCCAAATTTGGAACACGTACTTAATTCTTGAACCAATCACTGCCAACCATCCTTAGAGTTGAAGGGGAAGTCAAACCCACCCAACCCACATGAGCTACGAGGGGTGCAGGCAATTCTTCAAAGGAGATTCAGAGAACTGTTTTTAGCTAAAAAAGGGTGAATGGATGATGAGGGGAAAACAAGAAATGTCTTCCATGCCTTTCTCCTGTCTTTCCTCCCCTCATTAATCAACTTCTTATGTACATTGCCAGTGACTCATGCTGAAGTTGCTGACATTTTGGTAGAGGGAGGTGGGTGTAATACTTTCTACAACTCTTAAAAGTCTAACAGGGTATGTCTGTGTCTATACATCTTTGTCATTTCTTTGTTTAAACATCTTTATTGGCTCCCCATTGCCCACGGAAGAATGATTTACGATATCAGTGTTGAATGGTCCACTACTCTGGTATTCTGTGCTGTTTCAAAGTCCTGGAAATCTGGTATTTCTGTTGGTGTGATACTGTTATTTTGGAGATTAAAAAGTCTGTATCACTTATATCTTGAGACATACCAGAGGCGTGCTTCATTAAAATTTTGAATCAAATAGGGGCTGGCCCTGTGGTGTAGTGGTTAAGTTGGCGAGTTCCACTTCGCCAGCCTCGAGTTCAGATCCCCTGTGCAGACCTACACAGCACTCATCAAGCCATGTTGTGGTGGCATCCCACATACAAAATAGAGGAAGATTGTCACAGATGTTAGCTCAGGGACAATCTTCCTCACCAAAAAAAAAAAAATTTTTGAATCAAATATAGGTGAGCTTGTTTAGAAAGCCGTCTTCTACCATAATCCTTGAGCCAAAGGAGAAAATAACAACCACCAAAGCAAAGCTTCTAATGCAAGAATAATTCTTACCTATTACAAAGACTTTCCAACAAATGGAAAATGAACAGACCACTATTGGTATTAATATAGTGTTTGCGTTAGAATCTCCATTTGTCTAAGATGAGATAGGAAGATGAAGACAAATGAGAAATACTTTCTTTGATACAAAAAACAATACAGGCTATCAATAAAAAAAAATGTTGTTCCTGCAAAGAAACAAAACGTTGTCCCCCAAAAATCTCCTCAAAATTATCAACCAAGAGATAGGATTGTTTGAAGATAATGAGCTAGAGAAGAATATTTAAGAGCAGCTTATAATTATCTCCTTATCATTCTCTTAACCAGCACAGAATCAGAAGTTTACAGCAACTGGAAAGTTTTTTACAGCTCAATGATGACATCATTGATAAACTAAGATCATTTACTAAAAGATCATAATTTTATGTCATTTTTAACCCTAATTGAACTTTCTTTATTTTATTTAGTGCTTACTTTAAGCAGCATTTTATTTTTATATTAGAATGATATGTTTAATATATATTTCAGTATATTGACTTTATTATGCTTATGAATTTTTGTATTTGAAGTGTTATCAAATACTTCATTTTAGTGATATCAAGTACTTAAAGTATATTATGTGAAATAAATACCAAAATATACTGAAATTTTACTCTGCTATTTAAATGACTCTGTAGTTTGGCACTGGAGGCCCTTCCAGCAAACCCCTGTCTACGTTTCAAGCCTCCCTCCCACCATCCCTATCCATGGGATAGATATGTTTATCTATGTTTCCTTTTCTAAATAGATCTTGGATCTGGCTACCTCTATTCCTTTGCTGGAGGCCCCTTCTCTATTTCTACCTGTAATGTTTACACTGAACAGTGTAAGCACGACTGGTAGAATGGAATATTACAGCAAATTCATTTTTGACTCCCACTATCTCTTTAAATCCGCACCAAGGGGCTATTTCTCCCTTACCTCTAGAAAAGACAAAGGTTGTCCCTCAGAGGTGATAAAAGTACTCAGTCACTTTTTAAGTCACAAAATAAAGTGGCAATCAGGAATTAAAATGACAGTCCTAGGTAAGAATTATAACTGCAACCTTAATTTAAAGTTTATGTTTCTCTTCTCCTCCAGCTTGGGCTGGCCGCAGGCTGAAAGTCTGAAATTTGAAGGTCTGGGAGAGAAGGGTTCATGGCTTCTTCTCTCTTTCCTCTTCTCATGCTCCTTCTTCTCTTCTTCTATCTTAGAAACCTGTTTCTGACCCCTTCAGGGTCTGGAGCTTTGGGGAGGGAGATTAGCAAAGGGGGATTAGGGAAGAGAATTAGCAAACTTCTCAGTTAACTGGCACTGTGGAGGTGATGGAGCTGGTGCTCTCTGGACCTTGCAGATGTTTAAAGCCTATTGATCTCTTGAGGGACCTCCATGGTTTCTTCAGAGACCTTCCTTTCCCCACACTTCTGCAGCCCTAGGTATCCAGGAGCAGTTCATCTCCAGTTTACAGCCTGGCAGGGGGTCGTTTTGAACAGGAACTAAGCAACACCACCCCAACTCCCTTTCCCTCATGAACCTCATCTGGTCCATAGGAAACACCGTTTGCCCAGGAAAACTCTGGGAGTGCAGCTACTTCCCCCACACCTCAGCCCTCTTGATTTAGATTTCTCAAGTGTGACCCAGTCGTCAGTCCTGTGTCTCTCAAACTGTAGGAGACACACTTTAAGCTTTGCAGATGGTTGTCATAAAGTCCTGTCCTTTGGTTTGAGGTAAGGAGCAGATGTCCCTCCTCCTCCTTCACCCTTGGTGAGGACGGTAGAATTCTTCGTATCCAATAGTTCTCATCAAAGAAATCATTTTCAAAAAGCTTGCTATCTCCAATTCAGCATCCCTTTATGCCTTCAATGTAGGTGACAATTTAAGAGTTACCTGCCTCTCCCCCTTCCCATTTTTCCACCTACTTTGAAAGTGTTTGCATTTGGGTCCAACACATAGCTCTGAAATGTGCCTCAGCTGAAGCTTTCATTTTAACATCTTCTTATATCCCTAAAGCTCACTTCCATGCCTCTATCTCCACAAAATCTTCCCCATCACCCCCAAGGTAGTAATTGTTTACTTCCCTGAACTGTTAGGTGTGGCACTTATTTTCTGCCTTGTATTGTAATTATTTAAGTATACTTATTTCCACCAAAAATTTGTAAATTCCTCAAACGTAGAGACTATGCATCTTTGTTTTTATATCACCAAAATCCTAATGCAGTATATACATAATATTTATTATATCAAAAAAATGGATTGCTCAGTATTGCAGTGTATTGTAAAGTCTTGGTGAGTAGGCAATCTCTTCAATTCAACCTATATTTATTGACTAAGTGCTGAGTTTCAGGCACTGTGCTCAGTTGAGGATACAGGCAGACAACACATAGACCTGTCTAGGAGTGCTCATAATCATCAGAGGAGGCTGGTATATTACAAAAATCGCATAAGTCCACAATAAAGGTCTGATCTAAAGGTTGTGCACAGGAGGGAGTGGTTAACTCTAACCAGGAGGCTCAGGGAGGTCTTCATGAAGTTGGAACTACTTGAATTTTAAAAAAATTGAGCCATAATTTACATATCATAAAATTCACCCTTTTAAAGTATACAATTCAGTGATTTTTATTATGTTCACAAAGTTGTGCAACCATTCACCACTATGTAATTCCAGAACATATTCATTACCTCAAAAACAAACCTCATACTCATCAGCAGTCATTCTCCATTCCTCCCTCCCTCAACCCCTGGCAACCACTAATC